ATTCATTTACAAAAGTTCACACGCCGATGCGAAGGTCTCAAATTTCCAAAAGGTGATGACTTTTTTGAATCTCTATAGTGCTTATAAACATTTTATCTGACAATGACAAAAAACAGTCTCAATACGTATATCTAGATAACCGTTTCAATATACAGAACATATATGAATTACAATAAGATAAAAACGATTGAAATCACTAAAATCTCCACAAACTACCCTTCTGATAATAATCAACATATGCTCACTAGTGACTGGCTTCAAGTGGTGTATCCTGGAGTTCTAGTGAGAAACAGTGACTAGTGGAGTTCAATCGAGTCTGTTGTGACATAGTAACTCACTGATGACAATGGTGGATGTGCCACTCAATTTCATGTATTGGTTGAGGTTAGACATTAACACTGTTGCATACCGGCAGGTTCAGTGTTCTAGTGGCTAAGTGCTCGCGTGTGAGACCGCCAGGTCCTGTGTTCGAATCCCGTGAGGCGGGATCATGGATTCGCACTGCTGAGGAGCCCACAATAGGACGAAACGGCCGTCGAGTGCTTCCGGGTTTTTCATAGTGTTCCAGCTTCAATTGATTCATGATCTCAAAAATTGATAGCTTTAATTTCAATACCATTCAATGAATTAATTACAAACTGAATTTAGTTATACAACCAATGAAAACCAGAAGCTCTAAACACCTTATAAGGAAATCACAAGTAGTGCGTACTCGCGAACCGTTACAAGGGATTGAAGCCATCATCTTAAATTTCTAGTAGAGTCGTTAATCTCTAGATCACTGCGTCGACAACACATAATATACATATATAACTTTAGTTAATTGTCAATCAAAGTTCAATATATGATGAAAACTATGAAAATCTTATAATCTTCACAAACTCCCATATACTAATTACTGATCTAACAAATATAATATAAGATGATTACATCGAAAAGAGATTAAATAACAACTTTGAAAGTATAGAGTATAAGTAATGCCTTGAAATTTCTTGTTGAAAACTGGTAACCCCACATGAAACATGTATATAAGCTAAATTCATCCATCTAGATATTATGATTTATAAAATTTCAGCTAAGGCTACCTGTCTCTACCATCTAGATATTTCAACAGGTTATCTATTAGGCCTACTATTCGCATAACCTATTCAGTTATGTTTCTGAGAAGTATACAACTTTTCATTGTACAAGTTACCAACGGTGCAATCAGAGATAACGTGGTTACTGGCAATACGCGTCGAAAACAACATATATTATTCAGATATCGATTAACTGGACTGTTAACATCAAACTGGCAACCTCTCAGTATTTATCGTCAGGGTCAACCAAGAGGTAAGAAACGGAAACTCGCTGGTGTACTTTATCGTGAGAATTCTATATTGTATACATTGAATAAAGCCGCTAAAATAAAATAATAATCAATAATAAAACTTTTCAATAGTTGAGATCATAAATCAATTGAAGCTAGATCACCATGGAAAACCTGCAAGCACTTGATGGCCGTTTTGTCCCAGTATAGGACTCCTCAACAGTGCGCAACCACTATCCCGAACTCAGGACCTATTGATCTCTCGCGCGCGAACGCTTAACCTTCAGAACACTGAGCCAGCCGGTATTCAATAGTGTTAATGTCTAACTTCAACTAATTCATGAACACTTTTATTCATGAAAAACACTTACGGATCTCATAAATCATAATTAATGTAAATATAAATACCAAAGAATATCGAAATTCCATTAAGACTTCAATTTGTAATACAATATCACTTTAAATGTATATATAAATGAATGAATAAATCTGTTTAAGCAGTTCACTGTATTCATAAACAGTTTGTTTCCTTTTCTTTTTTTTTCTTTCTTTCTTTTTTCTTTCTTCTTGTTTCTATGTGCTCAATTGTGCAAAACAATACACCTACGCATGATTCACTACTTTCTAAACTAAAAAAATATAACCAGAGAAAATTAATTGGAAGTTGTAAACTTCATCTAGATCCAATGACTCTTGAAACTAAACAATCAAAAGCAAGAAAAATCGAAAATATTTCATTTGTAAATATCTGAATGTAACTAAGCAAATGTGATAAGCAAAGATGGATAGTGACTAGCAATGGAATTCAGGACGCGAGTTTCGTCCTATTTGAGACTCTTCAACTGAATGTACCTGTATCTCAGAGTTGATGATCACTCTGGGACTCGAACTCGTTTCACAACGCTATCGCGTTATTCACTTAGTTATTTAGTCCTGATAACCACTTGCTTGTGTAATTGGATGAAGTTTAAATTCATATTACTGGATTCCACTGTTAGCCAGTATCAATCTTGGATTATAATGCTTATGAATAAAGGCAATTTCAAGGCAATACGTACAGTATGCACATATACCAATAAGAGAGAGACTGATCAATTGCAGTGCTAGACATCAATGGGAAGATTCAAATAAGCAATACCAAGTGAATTTCATTCAAATGTTGTTTTAATTTCAGTTTTCTAGATTTTAATGATTTACTAGTAGAGCTATAAATCATCTTACTTGTATTGTATTTCATAAAGAACTACGGATGAACTGAAATACTAACAGATTTCACTTCAGTAAGTGTTGACAGATGGTAAAAAAATTTGATGAGAAGCAGTCTGTCGGTTCAGTGAAATGTCAGTAGGCCCTAACCAAATTATCCGGCAGTTGGATCACTGAATATCGAACAGATCATCAATCTGCGTCAAGATCAAGGACTGGCCCATGCGGTGGTGATCAAACTTTCGCTTGTACTTATTCTTACCAATATATTTCTGTATTAACGTCCTTGGTGTTGTACGGTCTTTAAAACAGCCATAGTATTTTGATACATCGAGGTGGAAATACACGTCAGATGCTGACCGCGAGGTGTGAGTTCGAAATTTGCCATCGGTCACACCATTCCCATCTAACTCAATTAGGCTCCAAATCATTCAACATAGATCATCTACGTTGGTGATCTACAAGGTCGTTCACTGCAGTAAAATGGATTGCCGATATTTGATTTATAATAATAAAAATGAGAGTAGGCTATATTCTTCTAATACTTTGATAAGACGTAATCAAACTAACTCAGTTAGTTGAACGATAGATCGCACAGAAATAAACCCGGTATAGTTCAATGCAAAGAAGAAGACTGATGTGATAAATAAATATCCATGATGTAAACAAACATAACCGCCTTTTTATGCACCAATTTAGTACAGTGATATGTTACACAGAACCATCTTGATCGAAAACAACTTGACATTGATATATTCTGATCTATTATGATTTTGATTGAACAACAAAACTATTCTGCATTATTTCTTTTGTACTATCTAAATTTATGTTAATTTTATTTCGGTTATTTATTTACTGCATCACGAGGCAAGCACTAATTTGGAATTCTGAAGGGAAGCGGAAAAATGGAAAGCCAAAGAACACATTGCATTGGGGAAGATTGCATATAAGGGTATAGTACGGGACGAAAGAATTATTTCGTAGAAAGAAAGATATAACGCAATTTTAATTTCATAGTTTAAGAGAAGACAAGAAGTGTATACATCTACACCATTGTGATCGATTCTGAGCCAATATCACTCAGAGTCTCCAATCATTAGTTACGATGGTTACGTGGACCCCAACCAAGTAGTCTGCATCTACCAACATGGTACAGACTAGAAGTTAATGACTTCAAGCACTGATGCCACATTTTGGTTTGACCACCCGTTAATTGATTCGATGATTCACTCATTTCCCTATATAAATACATGTACATTTAATCCTACTCACTTGACTTGCTAACTCACTCATTCGCCGCTCCGCTTTGTGGTCTGAGCTAATAAACTGTAGTTGCTGCTTCTCTTTGCCTTCTGATTTCAAACACCGATGAGGTTAATATAATAACGGTTACGAGGGTGATTGATTAACAAAGTACAGCCACTACAATATCACTTATTATTTATTAATCAATTGTGACAAATGTATGTAACATGTGTTTACCTTGGTATTATCATCGAATTCATCTACAGTATTTAAGATACTATTAATTATCCTATTCTGAAAACATTAATAACAAAAACTAAACACTAGTCACCTCTAACCTGATACCTTAATTAGTTATAAGTAAAATATGAGCAGACTTCAATTGTAATTTGTGAAGTAGTATTTACGCCAGATAGTAACATAGTTGTTGTATAACTATTTCGATGAAACAATACCATACAAAACTGAAATTGAACAAATGTAAACAGTAATAATCAATGGAGGGTTGTGAAGATTATTAAGTTTTTGGTTGAGATCAAGAACAGATTGATTTTAGACTGCCATTGAAAACCTGGAAGCACTAGACTGTCGTTTCGTCCTATTGTGGGACTCCTCCTTGGCAATTCACATCCACGATCCTTTAGATGCCGGCAAGCTTAGTGTTCTAGAGGTTAAGCGTTTGCGCAGGAAACTGAAGGCCCTGGGTTTGAATCCCGCGAGGCGAGATCGTGCATACGTATTGCTCAGGAGTCCCACAATGGGACGAAACGGCCGTTCAGTGCTTCCAGGTTTTCAATCATGGTCTAGCAGCAATCAGTTCATGATCTCAATCATAAACAGTAATATTTTAGCAATTGGTAGTTGTCAGAGGGGGTTTTGTGGAAATTTTGGTAATCTAATAGTTGAGTTCATGAATCGATTGAAGCACTGGACGACCATTTCATCCTATTACGGGACTCCTCAGTAGTGCACACCCATGATCTCGCCAGCACGAATGCTTCACCTCTAGACCACTGAACCAGCATCCAACAATGTTAGTGTCTAGTCAGTAATTGATTAATGCTATAAGTATTAACAATTTCAATTCTAATAACTTTACCAACTAGAATACAATCTTACTCATTTATGAATGTGTATTTGTAACAAATGAATACAAATTGTAACTAACTGTTGTAATTTTACGTAGGTGTTCATGAATTACTTATTTTTAATAGACTATCATATGTGTATTAGATTATAACCAGAAATCAGTTACTTAGATATATATTACTTTTTTTGTTTGTTTTCAGTAACAAAGATGATAATGAATACAAAATCATTGACTATATCAATGTTTATCATGACTTTGTTAATGAAGAGATGTAAGTAATATAGCAGTATGTCATTTATTGATTGATTACATATTCTATACATGTTTTAAACTAGAAAGAATTACATAATATCTTGATATACTATGAGAATCATACATTGAATACTTCATTTGTACATTCCCTTCAACTGTCGTTTACATTTTGTATGATTCCTTCTATTCACATTTCTATTCTCTTTCATTTGATCTTGTTAAGCTTCTACTACTAGAGTTTCCACTTCCACTTGGTTTAATGTCTGCTGATGTAAGTAGCATACACCATATACAGATTGGTCAGTTCTCTTTTTAAAAGATTAATATCTCAATTTAAATTAGTGATAGCTTAAAGTGGAAATCAGGTATCAAGCATAAAAAAAGTTCAATGTACAACCCCATTGTAGTGTGATGTGTGCTACTTATATTGATATGGGTAGTATATAACCATAGTCAGGATTAGAATGTTAGGCAGCTGGGCGACAAGGAAAAACCGGGAACAGAAAGTAATTAACATGAAAATGCAAGAACAATGAAGTCTGAGATGATTGACTAATATTTACAAAAATAATAGCCCGGCTGATGAGTCTGAAAATAGGACGAAACGCGCGTCTTGGATTCCACTGTTAGCCCCTATCCGTCTTTGATTAAAATGTTGATATTATTATGAACAATAAACTTAAAATAAATATTAATGACTTAGTGTTTAATATAATGTTTTCTTCTATGATTTTAGCTGATCCAAGGTAAGGGCAAATCAAGATTTCCATATATAACATTCTTTCCTTTATTAACATTAAATTGAAACTGTCTATAGTTGATGATGATTATAAAAAATGGAGAATACTAACTTACCAAAATGAAAACCCTGAAGGCACTGGAAAGCCGTTTCGTCCTAGCATGGGACTCTTCAGCAGTGGGCATTTAGTATCCCGCCGGCGGGATTCAAACCCAGGATCTATCGGTTTCGCATGCGAACGCTTACGAAGACTTGACAATGTTAGAGACCCTGTATTACCGTTATATCATTCAAATGATGTATGATCTTGTAGGTGTCATTACCAAGGTTTGATTTGATAATTTCGAATAAATTGAGCATTGGGTTGATTGTTAAAATAAAAATAATATATTTGTAATATCCCAATGAGTAGAAAATTGGATTTTTCTGACGTTTCGTGGCTTAGTGTAAGTCACTTCTTCAGAGAATAAATAACAAAATCACGAAACGTTAGAAAAATCCAATTTTCTACTCATTGGAATATTACAAATATATTATTTTGATGTATGATCTTGTTTGATAAGCATTCTTATTTCAGTCCGACGATTAATGCAATAATGTAAGTCATTTTTATTAAAATAGATAATTAAATTCGAATTCATTTGATTGCATCTTTTAACTATTCTTAGTATTGAATAACCATAAACGGTAGATTCAAATTCTCATTCGTTTGCAGTTCATCAAATGAATTTTAGTTCTAGATGTTGATAACCATGAGCTTTCCAAAATGTTGTTCAACATACTGCTTATGTAAGACGTCACTGTGAAGGTCTTACTAGTGGTTATGAGTCCTGACATTTTCCTTAGTGACCCGGGTTCACCACCAGGATTTGGAACACTGAGAATTCCATATTAAACTGACGACATGATACTGAATAAGTACAGTATGATTGCTAGTACTATTATAATATTACTAAATAGTGATATATGAGATTACGTATTATAGCTGTTAAAGTTATGTCATACAATCGATATCACTCAGTGAAATCGTTTCTAGTAAATATCTGGTTTGTTCTCTCCCACAGTAAATTGTTGTTACTGATAGTATCTGATCAACGGATCCGAATTATTTTGCGTATCTTCTTAATGATTGCTTTCGAAGTTCTCCAAGTTCCAGTTCCATACAGTAGAACTGTCTTGATATTTTTATTGAAAATTCTGAGTTTGCTGTTTGTTGAGAGTTGTTTTGAGTTCTGGATATTCTTCAATCGTAGATATGCTGCTTTTGCTTTTTGATAGTGTACCTAAACGCAATCTTGATGACTTCCTTTGGTAGTCTACTTCATTGTATATAAATTAATTTTATGTAAATGAACATTGTTAAATAATATTTCAGCAAAGACAGATGGGAGAAATTGTAAGTTAATTCAAATTAACATTTTACTCCCAAATGGGATGGTGTCATTAGCCCTATACCCAACCCTCTTCCTTTATTCGTGCTTGGGACCGGTAGTAGCCCAGAGGGGCTCTAAGTGGAGTTATTATTGTTATTAGTCAATCTGTTTCAATCAGGTTTCAAATATAATCAATCAATATTCTTGTATTTTACAGTTTTACTATTGACTGGCTGAAAGTAGTATTTCTAAATATTATGTGTAATTTATACGGTTCGTGTAGCTGTAAGACCGTTATTCGTAATCTTTGCAAATTTTCCCGATTTTGTATGACAGAACCTTGGAACTAAGTTGAATAAGTTAATTAAGGTGTGTTCTATGGCGGAGAAGTTTTGTGGATCACAAATAAGTAAAATTACCTGTTTTTGTCACTCAAAAACCAAAAATGAACTGCTCACTCGAAGTAGTGGCCAATGTAGTGTATATATAGTATTACATATTAGTAACTGAATTATATATGTGTAATTCAACACCCTAAACCTAGGTTGCAAGCTGTCTGGCACTCATCAGTGAGGTGACGCTCTCTGTACTTAGTTCATAAGTGTATAACGTGTTTGGGGTTTAAAGCGAAAAAAACTGTGTTAAACATAAACTCTTAGATACAGAAACATCCAAACTGACGAGCTCCAATTAGGATAAAACACACGTTCTTGATTCTATTTTATAAACTACCTATTTTGAAGTGATCTATCAGTTGTATATATACGTCAGTCGTACAGCAAGTCAGTTGCAATGCAAAGAGTTCAGTGTTAATGTCTCTAACTGTGAATGAAGGTGAAATGTGATCGAATTAATCTAAAAGTATCGGTCATCTCATGATTACAGACCCATCTGGATGAAGAGCACAATATAACCAACAACCTATTTATAAAGTTTCTTACTGACTACCTTCAACGATCACCTCAAATACAAAATTAGTGATATACACATTATTCAATTGGTTTTAAATACTACTATTCAGTTTGATAAGGCAGGAGAATGAGTAAGTTCATTTTAATTAGACTCATTTATCTTGTTGTTAAAAGGTATATGTATCCACAACTTCGTTATATTGAAATTAACAAGTAGAATTCTTTTTCGTATACTAACTTTGCTTCTAATTAATTTCCTTTCAATTTTTAATATCATTCTAACATTAGTACTGTTCTAATTGACTCGGATTTTCACGACATCAGTATGAATTTTCTGCTGTTTCAAATATGGGACCCCTCAGCAGTGCTCATCCACGATCCATGGCCTTTGGTCTCACGGGCGGACGCTCAACATCTAGACCACTGAACTTCCCGGCATCCAATGGCGTTAACCAATCCACCATAATGCGTCACCGCTCACTATTGTCTTCAGTCGGTAACTGCCTCTACAACGCACACTAGAACTTCGAGAAACTCATCTTGAAGCCAGTCACTAATGAGCACAGTATAGGCTGATATATATTGTTGAGTTTCAATCGATATTATGAATGGATGAATCGTGGACCACCACTGAAAACCTGGAAGCATTGGATGGCCATTTCGTTCTAGTATGGGACTCCTTAGCAGTGCTATCATTGCTTCCACTGGTATTCTCGTACACAACATTACTGTATGTCTTAAAGCTTTTCAACCGCTTGCATTGGCTTATAAAACATTACCCACGACATCTACACACTGTGTGAAGTAGATATTTTGTTCGCAAAAACATTATGACCTCGTGAAAATTATAAAGTAGCTTATCATGTATAACAGATATTATTCATAAAACAAACATTATCATATTAGTTTCAGCGTTATTATTACATGTGAAATAATTATGAGTGGTTAAAAATCATTCACAGTTAATTAATACTGAATAACCATCCACTTTCACTATCCTGTCCTAGTTATTCAACTAATGTACTTCTGTACTGATAACAACCTGGATACTTTGGTACTAAACATTTCTAACTAAACTCTTTTATGTAATTAATCTAGATTCATTTTGTCATTATGATTTTAAATATCACAAGTTGTAAACAGCGGACATTTAGAAAATTAAAGTGAAACTATAATTTATGAACGACCTTCGAATGACGTTAAAATGACCTTGTAAGTATCCACCTAACAACTAGGACCAAATGAAGGTTATAAACTATTTGAGGGAAACCGAATTATGATTTACAGTTGATAGTTAAAGTTAGCGATTAGATCTACAAGTTGTCATTACAAACTGATATCAGCTATAATACCAAACTTCTATTTCGCGTCAAAAACCGAGACTTGTTATCTTATATCTGATAGATTGGTTCATCCATAAATTATAGTTTCGCTGGAATTAGAGCACCTCAGTAATTTCTTTCTGGCTCACAGGTGTGTACAGTCCAACCATTCAAAAAAAGTAACCTTAAATAGCCCAAAAGAGAAGTCATTTTGTACTGCATTATCTTGATAAGTGTCAATAAATCTGTCATAATTATGACGTCATCAAATCATTCTCTCTTTTTTATCAAATTTAAGGGAATTTTGGTATAACTTCTTGTGAGTTTAATTCTAAGCTGATTTATTAATTCAATTCAGATAAATAAGAACCCTCCGCAGTGTCTATCCATAATCCCGACTCGCGAGATTCAAATACAGAATCTATCAGTCTCGTGCACGAACAGTTAACCTCTAGAACACTGAAGTTGCTGGCATCCAACAGTGTTCATGTCTAACTCTAACTAATCCACGAAATTGAGCGACACATCCATCATTGTCTTCAGTGAGTTACAATGTCACAACAGATCCAGTTGAACTCCACTGGTCAAAGCTTCTCACTAGAACTCCAGGTAATAACTCGTGGTGACAGTCACTAGTGAGCATATGATGATTAAAATCAGAGTGAGTTGTAGTGGAGATCGTAGTAATTTAATAATTTAATTCTCCTTCACGAGGAGTAACAGACGTATGTAAACCACTAAATCACTGTGTATTCTCGTTCACCACAATGTAACTTTCATAGGGCTTGACAAACAGAACACATTAACTTTAATTCATATATAAAATGAACAAAACTGTAATCATATTCCTTTACAACTTATTAATAGATTTACTTTCATTATATTTATTTAGTGAACTTATTCTAACCTGGCTTGAATCATGCTATTTTAAGGGATCACTATGGAGAGCAGCACTGTTTCCTAATGAAACAAATTGAATATAAAAGAAGAATAAATCAATACAAATCAATATTGTTACATAATCTGTTGAACATATATGCTACATTTTTAAATTGTTAATCATCATATGATATTATGGTAAAACGTGTTCTATTGTTAACATGTAATAAGTGATTTCAAGGACTGTTGCCATGTTTTGGTTTGGCCGCTCCTAACTTTCTACTATACATCTTCAATACTAGTTAGCATTGTGTATCATGGTAATCGATGTTCAGGCATACGTAACACGTGGCCCAAACATCTCAGTCGATAAAGAATCACAACTTCATCAACTGATTAACCATTATTGTCTAATATTCTATGTCTAACCTCACTTTTACTTACCCAGTGATCCCAGAAGATGCGAGCAATATTTCCAAAACATCTATGATCAAATACTAGTAGCTTACGAGCATCCTCTACCATTAATGACCATAGTTCGCAACCATAAAGTAAAAAAGAACAAACTTCCGCTCAGTATACTCGTCCCTCCCTGAAACCTTTTCTTTCACTTATATATGCATATAAAATCTAGGTACAGCATAGCACTGAAAAATAGGATGCTTCATTAAGCATCATTCCCTAATACCCTACGTCTAACCTTACTATTACTTACCTGGTGATCCCAGTAGATGCAAGCAATATTTCTAAGGCATTTAGATGGAAAAGTTAAATTAGTTTTAGAATCCAATTTAAATCTTTATTAATAAAACAAATTTCAATTCGCTGAGAACATTGACAATCATGCCTTTCATATAATCTACGATAAACTGATACCTCAAGTGATAACAGCGGTCAGTGAATATCAACGGCAAGATTAATGTATTCATGATAATAATCAATAGCATGATTTAACACGTGAAAACAGTGAAAAGTGGTGACTTAGAGCTTAAACATTACGGTAGATGAAAAGACTTGAATAATAGCACTGTACGACAAATCAACACATATAGGAAATAATCAGGCATCTAGGCATTCACAGTAAGACTGTTCAAGTTATTTTCTTTCATGAGTAGTAAGTACGTACTTCGAAATGGTTCCATAACACAAAGAAACAACTTCACACAACACTTTCAACTTTTCCACACTATTACAATCAACGTCTATATGGTAACAGTAGTAATGGAATTACGTGTAATATGAAACATGCATCTGAAATCACTCACAGTTCATAGGAGTTGGGAGGGGAAACATAAACTTAACAGACAATTATTGAAATACATTAGCAAAATAATTATCTTATTGAAGTTACTGGCCACGTAATCAAGTATTCGGTTTGATTAGTTCACGAGTAACAAGTACAGAATAAATTGACGTGAATGATTATAAAGCAGCTCTAAGGTAAATCAATGATAAATATTCATTGTTTCGTGTATATGTCAATTCGAATTGCTATTCTCATTATTAAGAATAATTAATACATCAAACAAGTGAAATTTCATTTCATAGATCAAACCACAATAGGATGAAAACCATGAAGAAATGTTTGTTTTGGAGACAATTCCCCCAATGTGATCACTTTCTACTGATTCTTAATGTCTCATAGTTTTAATAGAGTTCTATTGGAAATTGAAATTCAAAACTGACGAACAATACTGGAGATGTCCGATGAATGCCTGTTTTCATTAAATATTCTCCTTATTCCTAATCTATGATAACAGACATCTCCTATCTTACAATGTATTTGCAACTATTCAATTAGTAATACCAATGTTTTAAGTTGGTGTATATGCTTTATGTTGTCAACAGGATTCATAACATGTATAAGTGAATGAATGAATCATTTATTGTATTCAGACGATATTGTTGTTTGATTCTTTGAGTGAAATACTTTGTGAGATAAATCGACCACACTTAGTGAATAAATGGTTCAAGAATTTCATATATTATTTTTCAAATATACAAGAATTTTAATCAAAGAGGGGTTTTGTGAATATTATAATAATTTAATAGTTGAGTTCATGAGTCAATTGAAGCTAGACCACCATGGAAAACCTGGAAGCATTGGACGGCCGTTTCGTTCCATTGTACAATTCTTCAGTAGTGTGCATCCACGATCCCACCGGGTTCCGGCTATTGAATAATTCTCTCATTCTTATGGTTGACATAGTAAATTAACTGTAGTCAGATACCATCTCACTTTAGATCAAGTTAGCGATTTATGTCGTTTAAATCAAATAATTTTGATCGTTCCGTAATAGATTTTTTTACTTATTGATGCGTGGGTGAGAATAGTCAAACTTTTAGATAGTCTGACAGGAGTTAGATAAGTTATATAATTCCCCAATCCTTATTATTGATTGTTCATTTTTATTGGATTGTGTCGGGTTTTTGGTGTGGAAATATATTCACATTCTAGTCACGTGTTGACGTGTGTTGACGTCCTATAGAATAGACACTGGGAGGGAATCTACTGTAGATATTCGTCTAAGGTAAATTAACGTCCCATACGTGTAAACGTGGAAGCCCAACCGTTATAACATTTATGTTTTCAATCCATGTATTCTGAAATAGGTCGAAAGATTTTTATGTTAAATTTGAAATGAGAACTTATTGAAGATAAGCAAAACCTAAATAACCTATTTAGACTTAGATACTTTCAGAAATAACATTTCTCAGGGTTTTATTAGGACAAAATATGGTGAATATACACAACAGCTAACAAGTTTCACGAATCCAGTATCGTTTGTTATAAACATTTCTAAAATAATCAGAGAGGGGTTTTGTAGATATTAAAGTAATTTAGTAGTTGAATTCATGAGTCGATTGAAGCTAGACCACCATGGAAAACCTGGAAACACTGGACGGCCATTTCGTCGTAGTATGGGACTCCTCAACAGTGTGCATTCACAATTCCGACTCGCGAGATTCCAATCCACGATCTACCGGCCTTGTGCATGAACGCTTAACCTCTAGATCACTGAAATTCCCTATATCCAACGATGTTAATGTCTAACTTCAACCAATCTACGAAATTGAGTGACACATTCACCATTGTTTTCAATGAGTTACTATTTCACAACACACCCAGTTGAACTCCACTAGTCACTATTTCACACTAGAACTCCAGGAAATACATCTTGGAGACCGTCGAAATGGCTGTCCAGTGCTTCTAAGTTTTCCATGATTATCTAGCTTCAGTTAACTCATGATCTCAACTATTATAATGGTAATGAATCTTAAGAATCAAGTTTTACATAACTAATTAAATTGTAATAAAGCAAACATACTTAAGTATGAAATCGAATTCATGCACTTGAGATAATCATTCAATAACACTTTAAGTGTATAGATGTGATAATATAAGTTACATTGTATATTCGTAATGATGTTGTTCTTATTTGTGTGTGTGTGTTTATGTGTAAACAAGGTTGTAAAATATAAAGTACCTAATTGTTTACTAAACATACTCATGTTTAGACTTGGTCAGTATTTACTCATTTTGTCAGTAATTTCTATATTGCTCAAATCATGTAAGTTCATTGATACTCATAAGGAAATATATTCTATTCAGCTATTGTAATATTGTGTCCATTGGTAATACTGTCTATAAGTTGTCTAATTGTTATGTCATCCATAATCACTAATAGAAATAATCATGGTAGATACTTTGAATCAATCTACTATTCATATAATGTCACTGTCTAAAGCAGAGATGTCCGACTCACTAAAACCTGATATGAAATTACAACCAATGGACTGAATATAGAGAGTAGTGTTCTTAACATCCAGTCATAGGATTATTTAATAATTCACTAGGAACTGTTGTAATACTATTCGATATACATTCTTAACTTAATCCTGCCCAACCCTCCTCCTAAATCCGAGCTTGAGACCGACAGTAGCCCGAGAGGGGCCGTACAACTTTATTAGTTCATATATTTTTCAGATTTCCATTTGATTCACTAAAAGGTCATGTACATTGGGTATATGTGAAATCAGTCACTAAGTGAGGCTTGGTCTGTATCCCGCTTTCTTTTGTTATACTGTGTTATGGAAATAATAAAAGAAATCCAAAATCAGCTTTCAATAAACCTGATCAGAATGAAAACGCAGTATCAATCATTCTAGTTAAATAATGATAATACACTTGATATTGTTTATTTGGATCTTCCCATTGATGTTTTGCGATTGTAATTGATCTGATTGGCATATGTGCATCCTGTATGGATCGGCTCAATATTGCTTTAAGTCACAATCATTCCAAGCAAAGATGGATAGTGACTAGCAGTGGGATCCAAGACGCGCGTTGTGTCCTATTTGAAGCGGACGGTCCCAGAGAGAACATCAACTCTGATATGCAGGTGCATTCAGCTGACGAGTCCAAAATAGGACGAAACACGCGTCAAACTGGCCAGCTTATGGCTTATCATCATGGCTTATAATGATAATACGTTTAAATTTGTAGATTCAAGGTATTGTGGTTACGGAGAAAAGACATTCTATGAGAAAGATCTATTTAGTTTATTGAAAGCATATCATAACTTGAAAAGTTGTCTAATGAAATGCTGAGAGAAAAAAACTCTTTTACTTGTAAGCTGTCACTGTCTTTTCCAGCCGCCTCACCATTTGTGCATGTCTTGAAACTAACTACACTGTCTGGGTCACATGAATGTGTATTTATAAACTCACTTGATTTTTTAAAGCAAGTAACATTGACCGCACAAAGTGATCACTTTCTAAACTCATCTCTGAATATTATTCTGAGAGACTACCATGGGGAACCTGTTTCGTCTTAGTATGGGACTCCTCAGCTGTGTGTATCCACGATCCTGCCCCTCGGGATTATCTTATTCCCTTTCATCAAATTTTTGACCATTCAGAAACTTTCTTCCTAATCATACTATGATTTAATCATTCTTCTATGTTTCAACATACTACTTTAGTTGTTAATTAACTGTAAATATAATTCGACAGCTTGTTAAATGATATTGTCTAAAAGAAAATTTGTTTTAATGGATTGCCTTTCATTCTTTTTCAATGACACTATGGGTTAGTTTTGTTATTACTTCTTTGTTCTAAATAATAGGTGATGCGAGGTAAGCTTTCTTTTTCCTTCATAGAGTACTCTATCTGTTTA